ATTTTTAACATAGTTGTGTTGTCGGAGTGTGACAATGTGGAATTTATTTTTTAATAGGCTTTATGTACTCCATTTGAAAATATTTCATGCAGTTTATCCACTTGCTAGTCATCCGAACTCTCTAACTATTAATATTATTTCATTTATTTCATAGATTTTTCTTTTGCCTTTATCCATAGCTATTATCTGCGAAGAGATCTGCAAGTTACGAAATATTAAACAACAATAAATAATCGATTCCTCTTTGTACATATCTTATCACGATCCAATATTTCATCATAATATCACTTTAAATATAGGAAGATTAAACATTTCTGGTACCAAAGCTTATTTCAAATTGAGTGAGGACTCATTTATTATAGACCTTCGAACTTCGGTTCGCGTATTGAATATCATTAACGATTTCCGATACTGTGTAAAGTACGAGATATTTTGCTATAAATTATATCTTTGTTGTCACAAATGCGTTTTGGACTGTAGTTATTTCGAAAAGGTTCGACAATTGACTATTCCTCTGTCATAACCTTAGCGTTTTAGTTCAAGATTTAGTTTACATAAAGTTGATTTTCGGATTGCTACAATTTTGAACACAAAGCATCAGTTAGAAAGAGCATGCAAAATTTAGTTTCTTAAACAGGCCCTGTATGAAAAATCACGATTATGGCTTAAATTGGCGGAAGCGTCTGCATAAAATTTTGAAGTGTTGCAAAAGATAGTTCCACGTGTTAAGTTTTCAAACATGAATTTCTGAAAATGCCAAAATTCGGAGTCTTTCCTACGGAAATTCAAATTGTATAAATGTTCGAAATTCCATATTTTCCTGTTTTTTTCATAAAAGGAAAATTAGTTTGAGTCGGATAATTTGACTTCTTAGAAGCATGCCATTTTAATATTACAGAACTAGCTTTTCTTTTTAACCTTCTTCAACAGAATGAAGGACAAATTCTAAATTGTTAATTTTTTCATAGTCGGCCGAATACAAATTTCATTTTCGTTCATTTTGTCTAAAATATGCTATGGCTGTTATGATCAATTTCGACTATGGCAAAACACTCGAGGGATATCTGTTTAAAAGGAGGGAGGACCTCTTAGAGGACTTCCTAAAGGAAACTGTCCCATTTACAGGTTACACATGGGGAAAACTATGAGAATGCTCATGCAGCCAACCCAATCATTAGGTTTGAAACTTCCGACCGAATTACCAGTGTTCATCTTCGCTCGGCCGCTGACAGACCAAAATATATAATGAGATCAAAGCCCTCGTGATTGGAAAATATGTCTTTTTTTATTTATTTACAAACAATAGTACAGAATAACGAAACAAACGGTTTGTCGATCTGTCTTTCCTAAGCACTTTTGTTCAGTCGCTCTCAAGTGAGTTGAGTTTTAGATAAATCATTTTGACTACTGACATATATATATATTAGCTTATTAAAATTATATTAAAACAGTTTAAAAATTCGAAATCATTACACTAACGGTAGTTCATTGTCTCTTAGCATAACAGTTGTGAAACTTCTGTGTCAAATCTACATTTCAAGAAAAGATTATCTTTACAGTTGGTATACCGAATGCCAAAGTGCATGTCTAAGTATCTATTCATAAACATTGATAAATTCTGCCGTAAAATGCGGCAGTGATAAGATTCCAAGTGATATTGTAAAGCCATTAGGATTTTTTTAAAGGAGGAGACGTGAAAAAGGAGCAAAGCCCTTACCGAGACTCGAACCGGGACCTCTCGAATACGCGCCGAGTGTGCTAACCGTTACACCACGAAGGCATGCTGAAAGGAGGGAGAAAAGTACCTTATAATATAAGAAACTTTTTCTGCATCAGATTAAAATGTTACAGCAACGTCAAAAAAAGAATAATTGAAAATTATTGCAATTTAGCTCCCAAACTTTAAAAAATTCAATTGGAAATTTCTAGTAATTCATAGACTTGGAAATCAAGACTAAGCAATTAATTCTTATTATCTCGTTAATATGACATAATTGGACATGTTCATGAAAAATATTTTGATTTAAAAGAATACGTCGACTGCTTTAAATGGATTTTATACGATGCTGTATATTTCTTCTTTAATTATAGCTCTTGGGCGTACGCGTAAGGAAATGCAAATGCTTATTAAGATTACTTATCATTATGTAGGGCGTTATTAGTTACCCAGTTTATTATCACTTAAAATAATTACATATATCATAGCATACTTCTTTTTGCAGATGTTTATCTTAAAGTGTGATTTAAATTCACCATTTCTATCAAAAAAACTGTAAGATTTGTTCTTGGTGATACATGACAAAGCTCCTTAATTTTTTTTTTTTTTTAAGTTTTCTTTTTTCCTGTCATAAACATATATTATACGCACCATTATAATTAAATGTAAAAGGCTAATGGTTTGAAGTCACTAAAGTTTATCAAATGATTAAAAACGATGTTTAATTTCTGGCATCGTTTTCAGATCAATATATCTCTAGCAATTCCATAAAATTAGAGGAGTTTCAGTAAAGTTTATGCTGCAGAGAAATACTATATGCGAATAAGTCTTATGCTACTAAGTATTTGAGATAAATACAATCCATAGAGTGAAGAGCCAATCTATGACATCGAAAATTAAATTAGTCGCCTCAAGAATGCTAATGCAGTTTAGTACTAATCTGTCCTTGAAAGTTTAGGGTGCATTTTTGATGAAATATTAGCGTAAATTTCAATTTATAGTATTTCTTAATTGCGATAGAGATTTAAAATACACAGGGTCATGTACTCCTATCATGTATTAGCCTAGGTTCATGCACTATGAATTGTCTCCCCATAAGTATTATTACTCATATACTACCATCTGTTTCATATGTAAACCAAAAGTTCATTGCTAATAATTATTTGCTACTTATGTTATTATCTGTCCTAAAACTGCCCTTCATCATGTGTTTTAATTAGTATACACGCGTGCTTTATATCTGGCAATGTTACACGCGTGCTTTATATCTGGCATGCACCATGTGTTTTCACTAGTATCACAGCTTTATCTCTGCTCTGCATCCTGTGATCTTACCAGTTTTATTACACGTTTTTATATGTCACATAGTATTACATCTGCCCAGCATTATATGTTCTAACAGCATCATATGAATGCATTATTAGTACTCTACTTAGTAGTCTGTGAGTATCTTCTGTGTATTTTAAGTGATTTATGTGTACTGTATGATCTAATGTAAATGTATGGGTGTTATGTGTTTCAGGTTTTTTGTGTTATGTGTATTATGTCTTACATTTTATGCCACCTCTCCCCCCTTTTTTTTTTTTTTTTTTTTATTTCCTGTAACCACTGTAATCCTAAAACTTTCAAATGTCATACACATCACTCGTAATGTACACTATGTCAACCGCCCTTGTATGGCCATGTAACTTTCTCATTAAGATTCAAATATACTCCCGAGGCAGCCTCCTCCAGGGAGTTGTTGCCACTAGATAGTGGAGGACGCGGGGCATATGCCTGCTTACCTATGTAAAACATCAGGCGCCCTCGTCCTCCGTCACCTGTCACCTGTCACCTGCATTCAGGTTATCGCTCACCCAAAAATGTCTATATGTATGAGTATATAGAAAACCTTTGCCGAAAGCGGGGTTAAGACATTGGCACGCGGCAAAATCGCGTTCCGCGGAGTTAACGTTCTATGGTTAGGTATTAGAATTAAAAGAGGAAACTGAAATAAATTTTAATTGAAACTATTTTCTAAATAAACTAGTACAAGCTATAATTATTAAATAGCTAGTGATTTTTGTTTAGCGGGATGCCTGATATAATTTAATAAATGCTTTCTGTGGCAAGGAGCAGAAATATTTAAAATATCTCTCATAAAGTATACTCTTCTTTCCTCATTTGGATCAATTTCTATTACAAAATCAGATAGTATCTGTTTTTTTTTTTTTTTTTGGTTAATTTTTTGTACGTTTAACTTTTTGCATCGACAGAGGTCAAAATCTGTGTCCCTCAAACATCTGATACTTCCCTGTATACGAATTTCTGTCGGAATTGTTTCCAGTCCTCCCTGCGAAGTAGACTGCTGCATAGTTAATGTTAATCTACTGAAGTGAAGTGATTACTTCTGTCTTTGGGATCTTTGTGCAGTTTCACCCACTGTGTGTAGTTTTTTTTTTTTTTTTTTTTTTTTTTTTTTTTAAATCCTTAGGACAGATTTGCTACTACGAGTATCAATAACTAATCGTTGAAGCTAAGCAAAAGAGAAGGAAAAAATGCATTCATATAAAACCGCTTCTTTAGTCGCTTCAGAAGAATGATTGGCATGCCATTTAACAACTCCCAAAACTAATGAGTCATACACTAACGTTATGGGGAGAAGCACATGGTAAAAAATGTACGTAGGCATTCCAGCAACCTGCGGATGCTTGAATGCACGGGCGTTGCGAACGCTTTCGCTGGGAATGAATTAAAGAATTAAAGGGTTTTTAAACTTCTTCACTATTCCTGCTTTCACTGTCTGATAGTGTTATGAGATCATCCAAGTCTTTAATTTTTCGTTTCGCAATTCGTTCGCAATCATTCTCAACTACCACTTCTCCTACGCGGCCGACGGTCTGCAGCGTATTGTATGTAATTGCAATTCTCGCGTTCGACAAATTAAATGGAGACGATTAAGTTGACGCGTATACGCAAAATCGCATTTCGCAGGTCTGCATTCGGCATTGGTTTATATGGAAAATATGTATTATTATTACGATAAAATTTATATAATTTTTAACATTAGTTTAATTTGTTAGCTTAAAAATAAAATGCTTCTTTGTTAGAACACTGCTTTTTATTTCCAATTAAGCTAAATGTAAGGAATGTAAACAGTAATGTAGAAATGTTGCGAAACGTATGTGTTATTTAATTTACGTTCCGACTTTTACTTTTTTCTGATATACTATCAATTTAGTGTTGCGTAATATCTATTGTAATATTTACATTCATAATTTTTCTCTTTTGTCTCTTTCTGCAGATCTTGCACCTAAACTAAAATCAGCATTTTCTGAGAAAACCGTAAGACCCGGAAGTTATATTTCTTTATCTTGTGTTGCAACTGGCAATCCAGAACCACACGTCCGTTGGACATTAGATGGCATATGGCCTCTGTCAACCCGTCCTGGTATTTTAGTCACTTCGTATTTAAGTGGTGAAAGTACAGTGACAAGTTACGTTAATTTTACGTCTATAGATATCACAGATAGTGGAGTTTATGCATGTGAAGCATTAAACGATGCAGGACGTGTGTATCATTCAAGAAGACTGAACGTTTTTGGTCCAGTTTTTGTAAGACCGCTCGAAAATCTAACGGCTCTGGCAGGAGCAAGTTTCACTGTCATGTGCCCATTCGGAGGATATCCATTTGATACAATAAATTGGAAACGAGGTAAGTCAATTAATTATTCATTTGTTTAAATTAATTTCGAATCCTATCACAATTCCTATCATTTTCTAGCATTTTCTTAAACTACTTGTTTACATTTTCCTCTGCTGAAACCTAAACACTTGAAAATGAAACTCAATGATTTTTTTCTGTCACAAGTCTTCGTAAATAAAGCTCATTAATTAAAGTATCTGTTTAATAAACAATTCCGTAACATTCTTGCTATTGTAAGTAGAAAATTGCTGTTTCAGTATATGGATAAGTATGTTAGTTGTACTTAATATAAAACTACAGATATGCTGTATAGTGCTGTTTACAACATTGTCCCACGACTAGGTATTGTTGATGAATGAGGGCCATAACTAGGTATTGTTGATGAACGTTGAACATTTATTATAAAGAATCTTTGCTAAAAATAAATTGTTATGCTAATTTCTGCATTTGTTATCATATGAACGCCATCTGTTGGCTGTTTTAAGCACTTTTTTTGCTTTCATTTAAACCCCATGACATTACAAACATGTGTGCCAGCTTTTACCTGTCTACCTACATTATTCAGTAAATTGTTGAATTTTCAAATGTTAACGGACTTTTGGGTCACCCTGTGTAACTGGAATAGTTTTATACATTATATTTAAACAGGCCTTCCGTCTATACATCTGTATTTAATTTAAATTTTCTTTGAAATTATATCCATTGAAAATGACTAAAATCAAATTCATTTTAATCCTAAATACGCATCTTATGTTATTAATTCTTATATTGTTTTTTAAGCTGTAATTTCAGAGATAGTATTTTCACAACTATTTCAATAACGTATTAAAATGAGTATGAAGTGTCTAAATTTTTATTTTGCAAAAATTAATCTTAAATAATCTCAGATTTTACTCATTAGAATTCGCAACGACTTATTGCTGGAATACTGCACTAAATTTGGTAAACCTATTTCATACGTTTCGTAGTTCCTACAAGCTACAATCACTCACTTTGTTAATGCAAGAAAAAAACTTTTCTATCTGACTTTAAAAAATATACTAAAATAAATTTAAAATCCTGTATTTTCTTTTCTGCTACTTTTCTCACAGAAATCCTTGCATCAGCTTTTGCATTTTAGCTGCATAAATAAAACTAAGCTCTTCCCCAAAGGCAAAAGAGTTTAAAGAAAAGAAAGAAAAACTGAAACAGAACTATTTTACGAAAGTACACGTTTCCTAGAAAAGTGATAGATATACTTTAAAAAAAATTCCTCCAAGTTTCTGATGTCTTTCGTAACGAGGGCACACCATTAGTTTTCAGTCATTTATGCTGAGAGTTTCTCTGTTTGGAAATTCTCTAAGAAATTCCATTCTTTAATCACATTTCCCTACAAGCACGTGATTTGTATTTAGGTCGTCTTAAATTCGAAAATAAATCACTAATTGAACTTTCGGAAGGAGGTTTCTAAAGTACTGAGATTAAATATTTTTATGGAGTTGTGTTTTTAAGGAAAGTAAACAGAAGTGATTTAATTTAATATTACAACATGTTATTAAATATTTTGTAAAGAAATACAAAAATGCATATTCACAAGACAGTAATTTTTATTATTAATAATTTTTCAGACTTGTTTTGTTTCCTTTTTGGACACTAAAGTTGTTTCGCGAAGATTTTACGCACTCGTAATAATATCGATTTTACGCTAATATAATAAAAGTTAAATAAATAAATATTTATTTTTGCTTTAAAATGCTAGAGGGAAACTTTTGCCAAGCCTGAAATTTGAATTGTCTTCAACGAAATTTAGGTTAATGTTTCTTTCAGATTAACCTAAGATAAGTAACTTCAGATATTTGCATCATATATTTAAAATAAATTATTATATGTGTAACGTTTTGTGTCATTCATCATTTGTTTATTATGTGTATAATTTTAAGCTGATTCTTTTAAAATATTAATTAGTTTTGGAATATAAATTCCACAAGTAATAAATGTGAAGTTTTGCATAAATATAGGGCTTTACGAACTTTTAAACATTTAATGTATAGTGAGAAAGTATTAGTTACGTGAATCATTTCTCTCAAACTCAAATTGCTTGTGGACCAAATGCACGATCAGAATGAAGCTGACGGCCCTAAAAGTTTTTTTAACCAAATTTAAAAACACTTTTGGATCATGCCTAGTATTTTTGCGCATGAAGCTGCGGAAAATTATCAGTAAGTATCTTACAAAAACTATCATAAGTAGCTGTGGAAAATTATCAATATCTTAGTTTCAGACATAAACTAAGAAATTTGTAACCAATTTTATACAAACACCAAAAATTGAAATTCATAAGCAATAAATTTTAAAAAATCCTATAAGTGTAAAAATAATTAATAAATATTAAAAATTAAAATGCTACAAACAAGTAAAACTCACTGAAAACAAACAAGTAATTAATGAAATTTAAAGAATATAAAAGAAGAGGAATTCAATCAACTTTCATGCCACTTCGTCAGGAGGAGGAACACTGAAATCAATTAAAATATATCTTCTATAAAAATACTTGCTATTCTGTATCCAAAATTAGCTGATGAGCCATTCCAACGTATTTTAATCATAACAGTTCACACCAAAAGTCTGGCCGCTCCGCAAAGTAAGGGAAAAACAAATAAATTCATATCAAAGTTTTACCTTGAAACAAAGATAACTTTATACAAAGAATTGAAAGCGTAAGTGAAATTATAAAATCCTATTCGAACGTTTCATAAGCTAATTTTAGATGCTTTTCAGTGAAATGTCCATTCTGTGTGGTGAATCTGTTTCAGATTATGATTACTTGTTCCTTCACTGTTAAATTTATTTGTGTTGTTATTTAGAAAAATGCCGTTGCTTTGATTTTCAATTCATTTCCATAGTAGTTCTTAGCAATATTATAATTAGGAGTATGAATTTCATTTCTTTTTCTGTTTGGGTACTCAATATACGGTGCGAAAGCTGCAAGTTCTTTAGTTCGATTCATTATCACCATAGAACTAGGGGAAAATGACTTAAAAACAAATCGCACGGGGGACGAGGGAGGAGGGTGAGAGGTCCCGAAGAATTTTTTTTTTCTTTCTTTCCACCTCTTTCACTTCCCTTACCCCTTTCTCGTTACACCGGCGTCAGGCTGTGCAACTTTGTAAAGAAAAGCCCACGTGCAAATCAGATTGCCAGATGCTAGCTTCTATTTAAGCCTAAATAAACTGTTTTTTTAAATATAAATTATTTTAATTGATACATTATTTTAGCATAAAACATTTTACAATATATAGAAAAAATTTTTGAAGTCCCTAAAAAGTAGCATGAGAAAATGATGGATGTCGCAACAATTTTGCAAAATTGCAAATACTAAAATCTTAGTAGCACAAGTATGTTAAAAATTGCGAATTTGCGAAAAATCGCACTACTTGCCAATATTGGTCCGATACCTTTTTAATTGAAACCGGTCCGATCCCTATATAACCATATAACTATCTCTACCCTATGTAACTGTAAACTGTGTATGCCTTCCAGCAATTTCGAGAAATCGAAGCTACTGAAAAATTCTTGGCGTATTAAGGAAAACTATTTGAGACCAAAGAAAGTATAAGTTTTCCGCTTAGTTCAGAGTTTAGCTCAGAGTATTGAGAGATCAATCTGCGAGCTTGCCCATTTGTATCTTTTTATATTACTTTGTCTACTGCGTCCTTAATAGTCTGAAGTGTTAACTATTGATTTTGCTCTGTTGTACGAATTCTTTTGTTTGAAAAGTTTAGAACTGTAAAGTGTTTTTATTTTGGAAAATAAATTTCATCAAACTATCAACAGTTCTATGTGCATTCAATTCCATTATGAACCAGCATGCACATAGCAACATTTTACCTCACGTATTTTTATGTTCAGTCGGTTTAAACATTTGGGCATTAGTGTTTGTATTTAAGCTTAAGTTTAAAACATAAATTAATATAATTTGATATTTTAATAACATAATTATTTTAAATAAATATATTAAAATATATATAATAATTATTTTAAATAAATATAAATATTAATAATAAATAATTATTTTAAATAAATATATTAAAATATCTAATGCAATATTTAATATTAATTATTGCATAAGATATTTTAATAACATAATTATTTGAACAGTCTGCATATGTAATTGCAGTAAGCATAGAGGTCTGACCTCTTTTGATGCAATGATCGTCCATTATTTAAGCGAAAAACAAGAGAGATTTGCGGATATGAATGGGTTTGTAAGCACCTTAAAGTTTCTCGAGAACTCATTTAAATATCATGCTATAACAAGTTGCCATATTTTTTCTTGGCCATTTATTATATGTAGAATTTTCCCGATACCATCATAAAACTTTCAGGAAGAAGTCAGTAATGCTTTGCAATAGTAATTCACGTTTTTATTTCATCTGTTTTTTCGGTTTTGAAACCAGATCTACTCAACTCGATATGAACGTTTTCTGCTAAGGAGGAAATCCTTAATGAGTTTCAGCGTTACATACTTTTACAACAGACCTCTCGAATTCCATCATAATCCTCTTTTTAGTAAATCTCTTAAACACATCCTATTTTCAGCTCACAAAATATCCTTCACTGACTCGAGTACCTAGTTTGAAGCATTTCCTGCCGTCAAAAACGGAAGGAAGTCTTCGAGTTAAGATTAGAGCTTCAGGACATGGAAATATAGCAGAGTTCTGCTCTGTAACCATTATTTGAATAATGGTGTGAGTCGCTGACGTAAAAGTTAAATCGTTACTAGCTTCCCTATAGGTTTCATACATTTAAAATTCTGAATGCACGCTACCTTTTACTGAGGCATTATTCATATATTCTAGATAAGATATTTATTGAAGAAATACCTAAGCTGCAAAAGCGGATCTCGTTTAACTGTAAACTATTCTTTAGAGGTAAATCTTCAGAGGACTCAAGCCCAGTACCCATAGCCTACAATAAAAAATAAAATTTTATACATATGTATTCGAATCGCATTAAGAAAGAATTTATAA